CAGTTGCGGTTCGGTTGATGTATAATATTTTTCATTCTATTGAGAAGAGCTCTGAGCCTCTACTCGTTCCTGATATGTTCTCCCCCTTTGGCCTTGAACCATTCTGTTGGCGAATCTCTGAACTTTCTCTAAACAGGCAGCATCTTCCTTGAATATGAGTGACCTGTACACAATATTCTAGGTGTGGTATGACTATAGCTTTGTAAACGGGAATAAAGACCTACGGTCGTCTGCATGTTAGGGCCGATCGTAGTCTAATATTTCCCCCAGCCTTGCACGCTGCTACTGCACACTGGTCAGACTGATGGACATTGTTCGATAGCACTACCCGAAAGTCCTTAACCGTTTTAGCGGGTCTAATAGCAAACTGGTGCTCTTCCGAGTGAACTTCCAGTCCGTTAAATACCCGTGTGAGCACATGACTCTTGGTTGCGTTAAAACTTAGTTCCCATTCCTTTGCCCATCTGATTAATTGCTCTAAATCGCGCTCCAGATCACTTCTCCCATACGAACCAACCATCTTGACGTCGTCTACAAAAATGTAGCACAATGAGCTCAGAGTGTCTGACAAGTTGTTTATGTAGAGAAGAAATAGAAGCGGTTCTAGTACTGGGCCTTGTGGAACTCTGCTAGTCATCTGTACTGGTGTTAAACTTTTCTCACCAACCGTCACATAGGATGATCGTTGTGAGAGAAAGGCGCTGATCCACTTGTGCAACTGTCCTTGGATTCCGACTTGTTCTAGTTTGGTCAACGGTAGGCAATGATTCACTGAATCAAAAGCCTTGCTGAAGTCCAGGTAGCAAACCTCCACGGTTTTACCCTCATCCATCTTTGTAGTAACATCCTCCAGGAACCACAACAGGTTCGTTAAGCATGAACGTTGCTTACCAAATCCATGCTATGCCTCTGTCATGAGTATGTTTCACTAGGTGCGCTCAGACTATCTTTTCTAGCAATTACATTCTTCGCTAGGTAAACTAATAGGTCGATAGTTGTAACATCTGTCTTCTTACCACCGTTGCGTATGGCTACTACTGAAGCTCTTTTTCAGTCAGTCAGTGAGATTCCTTCAGCTAGTGATGCCCTAAAAGGCTGCAAATCGGCCCCACAATTATATCAGCATTCACTTCAATGATCGCTGGGCTAATTCCATCTGGCCCTGGAGCCTTGGATGTCTTAAGACCGTCTAGTACCTCCGATACTTGATTGACAGTTACCCATAGCTCCTCCAGTACTTCTTTGGCCGAGGGCTGGGAATCACTTAACTCACCAGTGTCTTACCTTTGCACGCTGCTACAGTAAGCGCAGAATGCATCAGTCTTACTCTGGTTTCCAGTTATAACCCCATTTCCCTCAATTACCAGTGGGTCCATCTCTTCTCTGTTAGAGTTCTTTGCCCAGACATACCCAATGTACCTCTATGGCTCCAGCTTTACTTTCTGGGCCAGCATCATTTCAAACAATCTTTTTTCTCCCTCACTAGGTTAACCACTGCAGTTCTGTTGGTTGTGTATTTAACACAGGACCTGTGGGTGCCACCTAGTTTATAGGCTCTCCAGGTTCGGTTCGGATACATGATGGCCCTGGTTGCTTGTGGTAATCCAAACTTACGTGACCGCATTCCAGGTAAGACCAGATACGGCTTCATGTGATACAATCACCGTCCAGGAAGCACGACCAGGGACACACCTAGCAAACATGAAATCCAAGTGAGCACATGTGATGCGTCGCCGCAAACGGTTACGTGATCGGACGATAGTCCTTCGACCAATCATATGGTCTATTACCTTTTATAAAACATACTCTATTTTTATCAATAAACAGAAGCATTTGCTACTGTCAAGTCCTTATGTATTTCATTGGTGTCCGCAGTTCGCGTTTAAGCCAATCCAGTTCTGGGTTCTCGTATTCCTACATTCATTACTATTTTGATTATCACGATTTGGCGTCGCGCAATGGAGATTCCTGCCATTGAACAATTGAACCTCTACGGAAGCCCATCGGAAATCGAAGAGTGGGTAGAACGTTTGAATTATGGTGAGGAGGAATGCAAAATCAATCGGTCCTATTTTTGACGCCGAACGGTCAACAGCTACACTCCTTGCTGAAGAATTTAGCGTTACGGAATGTTCCTGTTGAATCGCCGTTCGAGAAGTTGAAATCCTTATTGCTGGACCACATTCTCCCAGTGGATTTTCCACAATCAAATGAGCTAAATTTGACTCAATGATCAGGGCTGCTAACATGCCGCTCCTTGAACTCATCCTTTGGTTGAACAAACAGGCGTCAAAATGCAACCATAGTGATCGATAAGAAGAACAACTTTGTGACCGTCGTATTGCTTGAATCAACAACATCTGATTATAACGTAAGATTTTGGAAAAGAAAGACCACATTTACTGAGGCTCGAAGAATCTGTGGGCAAAGTAGTGATTTGTGTGCTGCCACAAACGCGGATACTCCTGTGTTATTCCATCGGCAATCAACGAAACCATTACGTGACGCACCGCGTGTTCATAATTCACTCCCGGTTCCTCAAGTACCCAGTTCAAGCCGGAAGGCAGGCTGCAACCAACCACTGCTTTTCATGTGGTGAATACCATCTTCGTTTGACTTGTCAGTTCCATAATGCCACTTGCCATGCATGTGGTAAGATTGGCCATATTAACAAGGTATGCCGAATGCCCGAGTGCAACCTCGTTGATTTCAATATCTCAACGACAGATGAGAATTCAAGCCCAATCTACACGCTACAAACCACCGAATCCAACAGCCATTTCGTGTTCGCCCCACTGAGGTTCAAGTCTGGTGTGAAGCATCGATTCGCCATGGACACAGGAAGCAGCGAATCTATCCTACCGAAATCAGCACTCACTGCGATTCGTCCTAATACTGTTCCAGCCCCGACTTCTGTGCGTGTTCATGGGGTTACTGGCCATCAGTTGCAATTATTTGGCGAAACGATGTTGTGCGTTCAATCTGAGTCCGGTGTGTTGATCGCGATCCGATTCCTGGTATCAGCCCACAGTCTGTCTATTCTCGGCCTGCGAGCAATGCGGCTCCTACAAGGATCAATCACACTGCATACCAACAACGATAAGCAAACCACCTCACATCTTCTACATTTGATTGTACAATGTTCCGGTAACGTTGGTGGCATGAAGGTACCGTCGGTAAAGATGAAAGTGGATGATAAACGTGTTTTCCTAAACCGACGCTTTCTCCCATACGGTCAACGGGAAGGTGTCCTGAAAGCATTACAGAAAATGGAACAAGGTTGAACCCAGTGCCTAGGCAACCCCAATTGTCGTGAAAAGTGATTTTAGAACACGAACGATTTGTAGAGACTATCGACTAACGTTGAATCTTCGCCTGCGGAACCAGAGGATTTCATGAAGTCATTGCATGGATGTCAATATTTTTCCAAGATCGATTTGGTGAACGCATACCTACAGATTCCACTCGATGTTAAATCTCGCTACTTGACAACAATCAGCACGCCGTGGAGATTGTACCAGTGTAATTTTCTCCCGTTCGAATTGCATGCGTCGTCTGGCCTCTTTCATTCGGCAATAGATAGTGTATTCAAAGGACTCCACGGTGTGCTTGCATATCAAGTTGTCCTCATTTTTGGCCTCTATAAGAAAGAACACGATGCCCGTCTTCGCAGCTACTGGAACGATTCGCCGTCAGGAACGTGGCTATGCAGCCGTCCAACTGTGTGTTTGGTGTGAGTGAGTTGGAGTTTCTAGGATTAACAGTTGATTCCCGTGGATACCGTCCCGCTCCGACACACTTAAAACCATTGACTAACATTGAATCTGCAAAGGATCAAACGCACATGGGATCCATGATGGGATATCTATAGTACTATTCCTGATTTATCTCGAACTTTGCTACAAGGGCGCAGCCGTTTTTTCGTGCCTAGTGTTCAGACGCTTGGGAGTGGTTGATGTAGTGTGAACATATCTTACGTGGTTTAATTCGTTGCGTTATGATCGTCCTGTTTTGCCCGTTTTCCTCACCAAAACCTACCATACTCATCACCAGTGCGTCTTTCGTCGGAATTAGTGCTGTATTAGAACAAGACGGATGCCCACTGATTTGTATTTTACATCTATTTAATGCGGCTGAAAAGTGATACTCACAGACTCACAAAGAAGCGTTGGCTGTATTTTGACCAGTTTGATGATTGCACAAGTACCTTTTTGGATTGCCATTCACTATCATAACTGATCACCAAGCGCTACAGTTCTTGCTTAATCCCAACAAATTCATCGCGAAGTTTACTGCTACTATGCTAAAGAGGTGGGGCATCACTCTAGCTGCGTACAACTGCAACGTCCAACATTGTCCAGGAAAGACAATCCCGCAGGCTGATTTTCTTTCTCACTACTCACAATTTTCAGAGGCCGAACAGTGTTATTCCATCTTCCCAGCATCACCAGTGTCTCGGGCATCTTTACACAAATGTAGACAGTAGTGCTACTCAGCCATACTCTCAGCTATAAGAAAAGGGTGATCACCAGAGGTGAGTAGAAATTATCCTCAAGTCTTTGCTGACCGAGCGGAGTTTTCAGTGCAATTGGATGGTGTATTGTGTTGCGACGATCGGTTGATAATCCCACCGCCACTATGGAAGACGGAATTAGGTGAATTGCATGAAAGACTTATGGATCATGGCAAAGATGAAATCATTGACTCGACAGATGTATCGGTGGCCGGAGCTGGACGAAAACATTTACACAACAGCCCAGAACGTTGAGTCATGCTTACCTAAACTAAGAACAAGGCGAAAACGCTGGACACCATAGCCAGAAAGTTACATACCACGGTAAAAGGCTCATTCGGATTTCTGTGGTCCATTTCTTAACCGGTATTACGCCCTTTTTGTGATCGATTCATACTCCAAATAGACACCAGTTTTCTTCACGACTACGCCTACCAAATCATTTGGGATACAACTACTACGGAAATGTCTTGATCGCGAAGGGATTCCCCAAGTGCTTGTGACGGACAATGGATCTCAGTTCTGTGCGACCAAAATGAAGTTTTGGATG